TGTCAACTTCTGACCCACTGGGGATCTGATTAAATAAATAAAAGCTGAAATAAATAATTATCTCTACAATTATTCTGACATTTCACATTCTTAAAATAAAGCGGTGATCCTAACTGACCTAAGACAGGGAATTTTTACTAGGATAAAATTTTAGGAATTGTGAAAAACAGAGTTTAAATGTATTTGGCTAAGGTGTATGTAAACATGCGACATCAACTGTAAGTGTTCAGACCCTTTTGATATGAGACTCGAAATTGAGCTCAGGTGCATCCTGTTTCCAATGATCATCCTTGAGATGTTTCTACAACTTGATTGGAGTCCACCTGTGGTAAATTCAATTGTTTGGACATGATTTGGAAAGGCACACACCTGTCTATATAAGGTCCCACAGTTGACAGTGCATGTCAGAGCAGAAACCAAGCCATGAGGTCGAAGGAATTGTCCGTAGAGCTCCGAGACAGGATTGTGTCGAGGCACAGATCTGGGGAAGGGTACCAACAAAATTATGCAGTATAAAGGTCCCCAAGAACACATTGGCCTCCATTCTTAAATGGAAGACGTTTGGAACCACCACGACTCTTCCAAGAGCTGGCCGCCCGGCCAAACTGAGCAATCGGGGGAGAAGGGCCGTGGTCAGGGAGGTGACCAAGAACCTGATGGTTACTCTGACAGAGCTCCAGAGTTCTTTGGAGATGGGAGAACCTTCCAGAAGGACAATCATCTCTGCAGCACTCCACCAATCAGACCTTTATGGTAGAGTGGCCAGACGGATGCCACTCCTCTGTAAAAGGCACATGACAGCCCGCTTGGAGTTTGCCAAAAGGCACCTAATGGACTCTCAGACCATGAGAAACAAGATTCTCTGGTCTGATGAAACCAAGATTGAACTCTTTGGCCTGAATGCCAAGCGTCACGTCTTGAGAACCTGGCACCATCCCTACGGTGAAGCATGGTGGTGGCAGCATCATGCTGTGGGAATGTTTTTCAGGGACAGGGACTGGGAGACTAGTCAAAATCGAGGGAAAGATGAACGGAGCAAAGTACAGAGAGATCCTTGATGAAAACCTGCTCCAGAGCGCTCAGGACCTCAGACTGGGGCGAAGGTTCACCTTCCAACAGGACAACGACCCTAAGCACACAGCCAAGACAACACAGGAGTGGCTTCGGGACAAGTCTCTGAATGTCCTTGAGTTGCCCAGCCAGAGCCCGGACTTGAACCCGATCGAACATCTCTGAGGAGACTTGAAAATAGCTGTGCAGCGACGCTCCCCATCCAACCTGACATAGCTTGTGAGGATCTGCAGAGAAGAATGGGAGAAACTCCCCAAATACTGGCGTGCCAAACTCGTAGCGTCATACCCAAGAAGGCTCAAGGCTGTAATCGCTGCCAAAGATGCTTCAACAAAGTTCTGAGTAAAGGGTCTGAATACTTATGTAAATGTGATATTTCTATATTTATTTTAATTTTATCTGTTTTGCTTTGTCATTATGGAGTATTGTGTGTAGATTGATGAGGGGAAAAAATGTGCTCTCAAAGTATAATAATGGACCTGCAACTTTGACTTTCTCCACTTCCGCTTTGCCTTTCTGCAATTTCTCTTTAATTGATTTTCCTCACTCATCCAATGGGCACTCTGTTTAGATGTGACCTTTTTCAACTTTACTGGAGCTATGGCATCAATGGTTGCCCCTAATTTGCTATTAATGTTATCAACTGAATCATCACGAGGTAGGCAGAATAGGTGATGGAGTATTGTTCATACACTCAATAAAATCTGTAGCAACTTCAGAGGTAAGAAGCGTTTCTTAATAATGCGTTCAGCATTATCCTGTACTATGGGCAACAATGTAGTAAAATAATAAACAGTGGTGATCAGATAAAGCAACATCTACAATAGAGGATATGTCAATAGAAAGCCCCTTGGTAATAACCAGGTCCAGAGTATGGTCGCAGTTATGGGTGGGCTCAGTAACATGTTTGATAAAGTCCATAGAGCGCAAAATATTTTGAAATTCAGTGGCCTTGGAGTCTCTTTGTCAACATGAATATAAAAATCTCCCAACACAATGATTGTATTATAGTTCTCAAGGACAATAGTTCAGAGAAATCAGTAAATCAGTGCTTTGGTGGCCTATACAGGGTTATAGCCAGCACTGGTGGCTGACATTTAAACAGTATAGCATGATGCTCAAAAGACCCAAAGTCGCCAAATGAAATGTCCTTACAGCTGGGAGTGTTAGTAAAAATAGAGGCTGTCCCCCCACCCTTTTTCCCTTTTCTGATAGAGAATGAAAAGCTGTAGTCCGGGGGGGAGGGGCTTCAATAAGAGCGGTTATACTTGTGATTGCTCTAACATTTAAAAGGGACATATTCAATGAGTGTGGGCCACTCTGCCCCTGGGGCATCTGCCTAGAGGTAACCAGATTATTAACGTTACAACCACGTTTTCTGACAGTCTCCAATCTATCAGAATGGTAGGAGATGACAGAAGGTGGAGTTAAAGGAAGATAAATTAGGTTACTCACAATCATTTCTATTGGAGTTGATATGGTTTCCAAGTCCTCTGTTGCTTATTCTGACAGGGAGAACTGGAGCACTACAGACCCTGTCTGTCAGTCTCTAAAACAGTTTGGGACGTTGCTGGAAATAATCCTGAAACCCCTGCGGTTAGGGTGAATCCGTCTCTTTTAAAAAGTGCTGGTTGCTCCCACAGCAAATCAAGGTTGTCACAAAAAGAGACATTCCTGTTGTTGCAAAGTTTCTTTAGGTGCTCGTTTAGGGCAAAGAGTCGGCTGAAACGTTCCAAACCCCTTCGGTAGCACGGGAGGGGGCCAGAGATAATTATTCTCTTCCCTGTGCTAGCGAGGGTAAAAAAAAAAAAAAAAACGTCCTCCCTCGGATTGCCGAAAACGAAGGTCGTTAAAACCTACGTGAGTGATGATGGTGTCAGTATTGGAATAGTTGGCCATAACCGTGGGCAGGAGAGAGTTGATGTCATGGACACGGCCTCCTGGGTGACAGTGGACCTTGGTCAGTCTACAGACCGTAGGCAAGCCAAAATCTCTCACCATCGAGCTCCCCATCTAGAGTCACATTTGTTTATTTTGCATGCTGTAGCAGCCACAATTTTACATAAAGTAGGTTTTTATAGGACCATAGGGTGTTTTTCTTTTTTTGCCCTGGTATTGTAGTATCGTGACAACCCTAATATCTTGTTGCCCTTCGTATGGTGGTGGGCTAAGAAATGCTTTGGGGCTGTTAACCTGCATTAATACAGTGGGCATTTTCCCTTTGAGCAAGCTTACTGTGAAATGGGAGGTGATGGTTAATCCATATGGTGCTGGGTTATACACTGCTCAAAAAAATAAAGGGAACACTAAAATAACACATCCTAGATCTGAATGAATGAAATAATCTTTTTAAATACTTTTTTCTTTACATAGTTGAATGTGCTGACAACAAAATCACACAAGGTTTGGATTTGGAGTCACACTCAAAATTAAAGTGGAAAACCACACTACAGGCTGATCCAACTTTGATGTAATGTCCTTAAAACAAGTCAAAATGAGGCTCAGTAGTGTGTGTGGCCTCCACGTGCCTGTATGACCTCCCTACAACGCCTGGGCATGCTCCTGATGAGGTGGCGGATGGTCTCCTGAGGGATCTCCTCCCAGACCTGGACTAAAGCATCCGCCAACTCCTGGACAGTCTGTGGTGCAACGTGGCGTTGGTGGATGGAGCGAGACATGATGTCCCAGATGTGCTCAATTGGATTCAGGTCTGGGGAACGGGCGGGCCAGTCCATGCCTTCCTCTTGCAGGAACTGCTGACACACTCCAGCCACATGAGGTCTAGCATTGTCTTGCATTAGGAGGAACCCAGGGCCAACCGCACCAGCATATGGTCTCACAAGGGGTCTGAGGATCTCATCTCGGTACCTAATGGCAGTCAGGCTACCTCTGGCGAGCACATGGAGGGCTGTGCGGCCCCCCAAAGAAATGCCACCCCACACCATGACTGACCCACCGCCAAACCGGTCATGCTGGAGGATGTTGCAGGCAGCAGAACGTTCTCCACGGCGTCTCCAGACTCTGTCACGTCTGTCACGTGCTCAGTGTGAACCTGCTTTCATCTGTGAAGAGCACAGGGCGCCAGTGGCGAATTTGCCAATCTTGGTGTTCTCTGGCAAATGCCAAACGTCCTGCACGGTGTTGGGCTGTAAGCACAACCCCCACCTGCGGACGTCGGGCCCTCATACCACCCTTATGGAGTCTGTTTCTGACCGTTTGAGCAGACACATGCACATTTGTGGCCTGCTGGAGGTCATTTTGCAGGGCTCTGGCAGTGCTCCTCCTGCTCCTCCTTGCACAAAGGCGGAGGTAGCAGTCCTGCTGCTGGGTTGTTGCCCTCCTACGGCCTCCTCCACGTCTCCTGATGTACTGGCCTGTCTCCTGGTAGCGCCTCCATGCTCTGGACACTACGCTGACAGACACAGCAAACCTTCTTGCCACAGCTCGCATTGATGTGCCATCCTGGATGAGCTGCACTACCTGAGCCACTTGTGTGGGTTGTAGACTGTCTCATGCTACCACTAGAGTGAAAGCACAGCCAGCATTCAAAAGTGACCAAAACATCAGCCAGGAAGCATAGGAACTGAGAAGTGGTCTGTGGTCACCACCTGCAAAACCAGTCCTTTATTTGGGGTGTCTTGCTAATTGCCTATAATTTCCACCTGTTGTTTATTCCATTTGCACAACAGCATGTGAAATGTATTATCAATCAGTGTTGCTTCCTAAGTGGACAGTTTGATTTCACAGAAGTGTGATTGACTTGGAGTTACATTGTGTTGTTTAACTGTTCCCTTTATTTTTTTGAGCAGTGTATCTCTGCTGGTCTATGTGCTCACACCGGTATCCCTCTTCCACCTGTGTTTGCAGTCAAAGACATCATCCCTCTGGGGTCTCCTCCCAAACCTTCTCCGGCCCCCTCCTCCCTCCAGGAGACCCCAATGAAACCCTCTCAGCCCCCAGGACGCCTCTCCAACCCCAACACCTACCCCCTGCCCAAACGGGTGCTACCCTTGACCAGCCACGAACTGGACAAACTCAGGGCGAAGCCCGTTCCTGGCCTGCCTCCTCACCCTCCCCACCCACCAGGGTTGCACCACCGAGCCTCTGGGGGTGGAGGTGGGGGGGAAGCCAAGGATGGCCCAGCCAACTTTACAAACACCCTAACCAGGAAGATCCAGCATTCCCACAGACCCCAGACCCCCCACAACCCTGTGACCCCTAAACCCTCTAGGGGCATGACCTTTAACCCTAGGGGTGGTATGGGAAGGGACAACCCCCTGTCGCCCCCCTCTATCCCCCCATGCAGAGTCAGTGCCCCCAGCAGAAGAAAGGACTATGGAGCGGCGCCGAGGGAAGACATGAACAAGAAGCTCAAGGTAGAGATTCTTTTGAGTTTGTTCTCTTTTCTCTGATCACATCCCTATCAGGGTTGGGGTCAATTCCCATTCCAGTTCTCTTCAATGCTTTTCAGTGGGGTGAATTGGAATTTGGTTTACTTTCTGAATTGAAATGGAGTTGACCCCGACCGTGATCCCTACATACTTTATTTGCTGTATCTATCTACTTTCCATTGACATAGAAATCTCACGGCAGCTTTACCTCATGTCTATCCACCACACTTATAGGTTGGATCCAGTGATATTGGGAGCTCTAGACCTCTGTTCCCTGCTGCCCAGACCCACAGGCTCTCTGTGCCCCCAACCGTTACCTCCAGACCGGGGCAGAGCAGCCAGCCGCAACTCTCCCCTTACATGGACCCCCGGAGCCCGGAGAGCAGCCCAGCAGAGCGCAGGCACCACTTCTCCCAGAAGCTCTCGCAGTCTCTCCAGTCTATCCGCCAGTACAAAGTAGGAGGAGACGGGAAGGAGAGTACAATGAGGAATGGTGGTCCACTGTCACCGACCACACGCATCCCTGTCACTCCACAGCAGGTACACTACATGACCAGAAGTATGTGGACACCTGCTGGTCGAACATCTCATTCCAAAATCATGGGCTTTAATATGGAGTTGGTCACCCCTTGAAGGGAAATATTAACGCTACAGCCTACAATGACATTCTAGACGATTCTGTGCTTCCAACTTTGTGGTAACAGTTTGGTGAAGGCCCTTTCCTGTTTCAGCATGACAACCCCATCGAACACCTTTGGGATGAATTGGAACGCTGACAGTGAGCCAGGCCAAATCGCCCAACATCAGTCCCCGACCTCACTAATGCTCTCGTGGCTGAATGGAAGCAACTCCCCGCAGCAATGTTCCAACATCTAGTGGAAAGCCTTCCCTGAAGAGTGGAGGCTGTTATAGCAGCAAAGGGGGGACCAACTCCATATTAATGCCATGATTTTGGAATGAGATGTTCAACGAGCTTTTTGCCATGTAGTGTACTTCATTGATCCCGAAACTCCATGTCCGGAGCAGATACAAACAAATAGACTATATTCTAAACTAAACTGTCTCACTCTCACCTCACACAGGCAAGTAAATAATGACAATTCAATGATGTTGATATTTGGTTCTCTTCTGTTTCGGTCTTTCCACAGAGTCGTGGTTCCCTGGATCACAGAGGAACCACACCCTCTAACGAGCGGTTCACTCCAGGTACAAATTAGACCTACTAACTCTTATGTAAAAAAACAAGCCCATCATAGACCTCCTATTTTAGATAACTGAACCCTAGTAAATGTAGTCTATAAACACATCAATAGGTTAACCATCTCCAAATGATATGTTTCAATGTTGTTCTTTTTGTACAGTAACAATGCTGATGCAGACGTAGTAGTTTCTGAGGCCCCTTCTGCCATTTGACTAATGACTTGTTGAGAGTAGTATACCATGCAAATTCAGGCTAACTTTGCATGAAGTGCACCTGTTTGCTGTTAGAGTTTATCTAGTGGGCCTCTCTGTAGCGTGTGCTAAAAGCCTTGAAAATGTGGTTATCACAATTCAGACTTAACAATTAATGTCATATTTTGACAGCTTTGTAAAAACCCACATACTCTCATTCTCTAGTATTTTACTTGTTGGACTTTACATGAAATATTCTATTTACTGTGAATGTTGTTGTTGATGATGTTTTCTCCCAAAAGGAGGCACCAGATCCCTGTCTCTGAAGAGACTCAGACACCCAGACTTGGAGGGGAGAAACAGAGGAATAGCAGAGTACATGGCTAATAAGAGACTGCGTCCAGAGGACTATATCCCAAGCCCTATCAGTACCAGTCACCCATCCTATGGAACAGCCAGGTGAGTGGGGCAGAGGGGTAGACATTTAATTTAATGCAACTTTATTTGTCCCCTTCGGGCAATTACTATTAGGGCTAACTTTGTATGACGTGTAGTTGCTGGATATTACTACAGAAATACGGACAATGGAGTAAGCTAACCTTATCGTTTGTCTTGTGATCGTATATATAATTGCGCTAACTAAGCTCATAAGGCATTTAGAAGTTATATTCTACAAGAATCAATGAATACAATATCAATTGAAATAACCATTGAAAAGCCAGAAATCTTACTGATTGTGATCTCTGTAAAGCCTGGTTTGTGATGGCTAAATGCTCTGTTGTGAATACATTTGATTTAATTTGACCCCGTACTCCTAGTTCTAAGATGTCCCCCAGCCCCAACCCATCCTACCTGAAGAAAGTCTTCATGAAGAACAGTCTGAGCTCAAGTCCTACTCTAAGGTTGAAGGAGAGACTCACCCCTAAGAAGACAGAGGAAGGGATGGAGAGTGGGAGTAGGACTGTCCCTACCTATCCACTCTCCACACCCAAGCCTGCGAGGCAGCGCTGCACCGGCCATGGACAGACGCCATGCTGCAATAGTGTGAGGGAGAACGGCAACCCTCAGGCTGGATACAGGAGAATTGATCACCAATCTGGCAACACTCAATCTTTTTACAGTGGTAGTAATCCCCAAACTGGCAACCACTACAGCCAATCTGGCAACCCAGCCAACCTGCCAGTCACAATCCCTAGTAGAGGAGAATGCAGCAGAGATAAAGAGGCCAGAGAGCGAGAGAGTAGAGGAGGAGAACCGACAGGTCGCCCCGACGGGAGAACTCCCAAAACTTCCTCGAAGTCTCAGAGCTCGGACTCGAGCTGCCCTAGTTTTCGGCGCCGTCACGCATTGGAAAAGAACCGACACGTCTCTGTCCCCCGGAGAACGAGTGCCTTGCCAGATGACCTGAATGACCTTTTCACCCCTGACCCCATAACCTCTAGCCCATCTAGAGCAGCGATGACCTTTTCCCCCAGTCCCCAGAGAGGAGACGGTTCGCCCTCTGTACACAACAAGGTTCCTCTGTCTGTTGTGTTGGCTACTGTCAGTAGTGCTACTATGGGACCGGGGTCCCCCTCTTTAACAAGCCCAAGAGAAATCCCCCCAAAATCCCTCTCACAGCGAATGCTGTGTCCCAAGATCTCTCCCTGTACGGACACTGCAATGGACCCCTGTAAGCTACTCCTGGACCCCAAAATCTACTCCTCCTTTGTAAGGCTGGAGATGGGCAGGAATGACTTGACTAAACTAGAGACTGGCTTGTATAGAGCCATCACCAGCACTCCTTCTTCCTCAGGGAAGCCCTTGTCCTGTAAGGAGGAGTCTGTTAAGATGGAGGATGTCGCCTCAGGACTGAAAACGAGATCTCCTGGTATTGCTTTAGCAGGGTTGGAGTCACCTATGGATGAGGATGAGAATTCCTACCTCAAGACTGAGTCCTCCGTCCTGAAAACTATCCCCCTCTCAGCCTCTGCAAAGTCCTCATCCTCGTGTAATGACAAGTCGTTTAGCATGGAGACGGCAGACCTCAAAATCAGTCCCACCTCACCCCTGGACCAACATGGACAAGGAAAGGAGGGTGAAGAGAGGAAGGAAGGAGACCAGAAGTTCCATAAGAGTTTATTGTTTTTTGAGGAAGGAGAAGAAAGAAGCAAGAAGGAAAATTCCCAGAAGAGTCTGCCATTTCTGGAGGAGGACCCTCTGGATGTGGAGCTGGGCCTAGGCCTCGACCTGAGCCTGGGGCTAGAGTTGGCGCTATCCCAGACCAGCAGCAGCAGTGACGAGGACCAGCTGCCGTCCCTGCAGCAGATCCTGGACCTTACCGCCCGGCCCCCAGACACCCCAGAAAAAGGAACCTTCCCTGCTCCCAGCAGCCCCGTTGGGCTCCGACACCACAGCCAGCCAGTAAGAGGCTACTAAAATGTTTTATTTACTTATTGTAATTTTCCAGTTTTGATGTAGGCCTAAATATGATCCAGAAGCCACTATAACCAGTCTGTAAGCAGCAACTTTCTATACTGTCATTTATATGGTTTGGTTGTATTTGGTTGTAACTTACTGTAGAAGGTTAGAAAAGTTCAAATGACTAATTTTGAAATGCCGTAAAATAGTGGACTACAAATCCCAAGTCGTCACTAACAATGCTACGGTGTTTGGTACAGTGTTTTACACTAGTATGACCTCAGTCTAAATGGGTGTTCTCTCTGGCAGCCTTCGTCATCTAAAGCCAAACCCACGAGTTACAGGAACAACCTGGATGAGATGCTGAAGGAAAAGGAGACCATTCAAAGGTATTGCTTTATCATAAGTGACATTATAGTGCTATTTTCTCCATGTGGGTCTTGGAGATGGAGAAATTGCTTTAAAATGACAACGTGCCATTGTTGTGAGATGACACATTGCTGTTAAACGTTCTGTCCTTGTTGTTTTCCCCCAAGGTCTAAGGTGATGGAGAGGTCTGCATTACTTAAACGAGTTCTATATCATATTGTATGAGTACTATGTCACAACACTGTTGTGGTTATTCCCCCCAGGTCTAAGGTGATGGAGAGGTCTCTGCATTGCTTAACCCCCTAGAGTTGATTAACGCAGTTTAAGATAGAGATATCTGTTTTCTTGCATTGGTTGCATCTCAACCATCGCTCATCGCATCTGCCGTGGAAGGTGGCAGAGCTAGAGGGGTGTTGTGATGTCGAAGAAGTCAGGCGCAGGAGGGTAAATCACAGAATAACAGGCTTTATTCCGCAAATCCAGCGTTATGCAGTAATGTGTCCAAAAATACTCCAGTGCGCAAAACAGGCGCACTGGAAAATACAAGGCACACAGGGAATTATCCCGGCGATACAAAATACACGGAGCTCCGCCGAGCTTAACTATCCTCCACAATAAACAATCACACACAAAGACAAGGGGGCAGAGGGAACACTTATACAGGTACTGATGAGGGGATATGAAACAGGTGTGTGTGAACAACAAGACAAAGCCAATGGAATGATGAGATGAGGAGCGGCAGTGGCTAGAAGGCCGGTGACGACGGCCACCGAAGCCTGCCCGAACAAGGAGAGGAGGCAGCTTTGGAGGAAGTCGTGACAGGTGTTTGTCAGACCATGAGACATCCCGCAAATCGGTCTTCTCACGAAAACGTCTGTAGCGTCTGAACGGTTTGACCTAAAAAACTATTATGACTATGGAAAGGGGAGACTCTCACGAACACGATGGTGGTATCCGTTTAGCTTTGTGTCAGGGGACTCGTCTGAAGTCGGTACAGTCGATGTGCCTACTTCTGTTTGTAGAGTACGAACCATTTGGGCTACAAACTAATCCTGTACCGTTTAAAATAATGAATGGAAGGATGAATGTAGTTTTGTGCCTACGCAAAAAAGGGTTAAATATGTGTAAAGAAATATCTTTTACATTTTAGTCATTTAGCAGACGCTCTTATCCAGAGCGACTTACAGTTAGTGAGTGCATACATTTATTTTTATTTTTTTCATACTGGCCCCCCCGTGGGAATCGAACCCACAACCCTGGCGTTGCAAACGCCATGCTCTACCAACTGAGCTACATCCCTGCCGGCCATTCCCTCCCCTACCCTGGACGACGCTGGGCCAATTGTGCGCCGCCCCAGCTCTGGAAAAAATTAAGAGACCACTGCAAATGTTTCTTAAATCAGCATCTCTACATGTATGACAGCCATTCCATTCCAGTGTCTGTTGAATTCCACCAACACAGGCACACCTCATTCTACTGAATTAGGTACTGATTAGATGATCACCTGAACCAAATCTTATTTAACGAGGAAAAGTATAAAAACCACTGCTGTGGTCATCACTATCCTCTTGCAATAGGACCAGCTGGATGGCAAAACAGTGCTAATAGTACCTCCAAAAGTAATATTAATTAAAAAAATAACTATTGACCATGCCAAAAGAGTTGAAAATGAAAGTTTTGAGTGAGGAAAAGAACGATTCAATTCTGGCTTTACTGGCAGAGGGATAAAGTGAGCGTCAGGTTGCTTCCATCCTTAAAATTTCAAAGAGGGCAGTTCATAAGAACAAGGTCAAGCAGCAGACATTGGGGACAACAAAGCTACACACTCTACTGACCGGGATGACCGCCAACTCATTCGAATGTCACTCAACAACCGTAGGATGACATCAAGTGACCTACAAAACTAATGGCAAATGGCAGCTGGGGTGAAGTGCACGGCGAGGACAGCTCGAAACAGGCTCCTAGGGGCAGGGCTGAAGTCGTGCAAAGCTAGAAAAAAGCCCTTCATCAATGAGAAGCAAAGAAGAGCCAGGCTGAGGTTTGCAAAAGACCATAAGGATTGGACCATAGAGGACTGGAGTAAGGTCATCTTCTCTGATGAGTCCAATTTTCAGCTTTGCCCAACACCTGGTCGTCTAATGGTTAGACGGAGACCTGGAGAGGCCTACAAGCCACAGTGTCTCGCACCCACTATGAAATTTGGTGGAGGATCGGTGATGATCTGGGGGTCCTTCAGCAAGGCTGGAATCGGGCAGATTTGTCTTTGTGAAGGACGCATGAATCAAGCCACGTACAAGGTTGTCCTGGAAGAAAACTTGCTTCCTGTTGCTCTGACATTGTTCCCCAACTCTGAGGATTGGTTTTTCCAGCAGGACAATGTGCCAAGCCACACAGCCAGGTCAATCAAAGTGTGGATGGAGGACCACCAGATCAAGACCCTGTCATGGACAGCCCAATCTCCAGACCTGAACCCCATTGAAAACTTCTGGAATGTGATCAAGAGGAAGATAAATGGTCACAAGCCATCAAACAAAGCCGAGCTGCTTGAATTTTTGCGCCAGGAGTGGCATAAAGTAACCAACATCAATGTGAAAGACTGGTGGAGAGCATGCCAAGACGCATGAAATCTGTGATTGAAAATCAGGGTTATTCCACCATATATTGATTTCTGAACTGTTAAAACATTAGTATTGTGTTGTTTAAAAATGAACATGAACTTATTTTCTTTGCACTATTCGAGGTCTAACAACACTGCATATTTTTTGTTATTTTGACCAGTTTCCATTTTCTGCAAATAAATGCTCTAAATGACAATATTTTTATTTGGAATTTGGGAGAAATGTTGTCAGTAGTTTATAGAATAAAAAAAAAATGTTAATTTCACCCAAACACATACCTATAAATAGTAAAACCAGAGAAACGTATATTTTTGTAGTGGTCTCTTTATTTTTCCAGAGCTATATATATATATATATATATATATATATATATATTACACAGTGAGGGGAAAAAAGTATTTGATCCCCTGCTGATTTTGTATGTTTGCCCACTGACAAATGGGCAAACATACAATGGTAAGTTTATTTGAACAGTGAGAGACAGAATAACAACAAAAAAATCCAGAAAAACACATGTCAAAAATGTTATAAATTGATTTGCATTTTAATGAGGGAAATAAGTATTTGACCCCCTCTCAATCAGAAAGATTGCTGGCTCCCAGGTGTCTTTTATACAGGTAACGAGCTGAGATTAGGAGCACACTCTTAAAGGGAGTGCTCCTAATCTCAGTTTGTTACCTGTATAAAAGACACCTGTCCACAGAAGCAATCAATCAATCAGATTCCAAACTCTCCACCATGGCCAAGACCAAAGAGCTCTCCAAGGATGTCAGGGACAGGATTGTAAACCTACACAAGGCTGGAATGGGCTACAAGACCATCGCCAAGCAGCTTGGTGAGAAGGTGACAACAGTTGGTGCGATTATTCGCAAATGGAAGAAACACAAAAGAACTGTCAATCTCCCTCGGCCTGGGGCTCCATGCAAGATCTCACCTCGTGGAGTTGCAATGATCATGAGAACGGTGAGGAATCAGCCCAGAACTACACGGGAGGATCTTGTCAATGATCTCAAGGCAGCTGGGACCATAGTCACAAAGAAAACAATTGGTAACACACTACGCCGTGAAGGACTGAAATCGTGCAGCAACCGAAAGGTCCCCCTGCTCAAGAAAGCACATATACAGGCCCGTCTGAAGTTTGCCGATGAACATCTGAATGATTCAGAGGAGAACTGGGTGAAAGTGTTGTGGTCAGATGAGACCCAATTCGAGCTCTTTGTCATCAACTCAATTCGCCGTGTTTGGAGGAGGAGGAATGCTGCCTATGACCCCAAGAACACCATCCCCACCGTCAAACATGGAGGTGGAAACATTATGCTTTGGGGGTGTTTTTCTGCTAAGGTGACAGGACAACTTCACCGCATCAAAGGGACGATGGACGGAGCCATGTACCGTCAAATCTTGGGTGAGAACCTCCTTCCCTCAGCCAGGGCATTGAAAATGGGTCGTGGATGGGTATTCCAGCATGACAATGACCCAAAACACAAGGCAACAAAGGAGTTGCTCAAGAAGAAGCACATTAAGGTCCTGGAGTGGCCTAGCCAGTCTCCAGACCTTAATCCCATAGAAAATCCGTGGAGGGAGCTGAAGGTTCGAGTTGCCAAACGTAAGCCTCGAAACCTTAATGACTCGGAGAAGATCTGCAAAGAGGAGTGGGACAAAATCCCTCCTGAGATGTGTGCAAACCTGGTGGCCAACTACAAGAAACATCTGACCTCTGTGATTGCCAAAAAGGGTTTTGCCACCAAGTACTAAGTCATGTTTTGCATAGGGGTCAAATACTTATTTCCCTCATTAAAATGCAAATCAATTTATAACATTTTTGACATGCATTTTTCTGGATTTTTTGGTTGTTATTCTGTCTCTCACTGTTCAAATAAACCTACCATTAAAATTATAGACTGATCATGTCTTTGTCAGTGGGCAAACGTACAAAATCAGCAGGGGATCAAATACTTTTTTCCCTCACTGTATATAGATATATTTCCTGAGCTACCATATCTCCTAGATATGATATATTCTTTGACTGTCTTGTTTGTCATTTATGAATGTGTAATTCAATGCGTTTTCTCTGGGCCATAGTAGTAAAGGCCGAATTCAATATTTTATCAAATATTTTGCTGTTGTTTTGTTACCCAAAGGGGTCCTAAAATTCCAAATCAAATAGCTAAATGAGCCATAGTATGACCATCTTAAAACAATCCCCCCCCCCCCCCCCCCCCCCACGGCTTAGACTTTTAAGTATTAGAAGTGTTCTATTTCATATCATATGAGTACTATGTCATAACAATGTGTGCTATGTCGTGGTTATTCCCCCCAGGTCTAAGGAGATGGAGGCCAAGCTGCGTCTCTCCTGTAAGGAGAACCTGCTGAGACTGGCGGAGGAGGAGGAGGAGGAGGAGAACATAGAGGCAATCTCCCAGCAGCAAAAGTAACTACACACACACACGCTTAAAACACACATACATACATACATACATACATGCATGCATACATACATACATACATACATACATACAGTGCATTCGGAAAGTATTCAGACCTAAAATGGATTAAATAGTTCATTTTCCTCATCAATCTACACGCAATACCCCATAATGACAAAGCAAAAACATGTTTTTAGACATTTTTGCAAAGTACTTTGTTGAAGCACCTTTGGCAGCGATTACAGCCCCAAGTCTTCTTGGGTATGACGCTACAAGCTTGGCACACCTGTAGTTGGGGAGTTTCTCCCATTCTTCTCTGCAGATCCTCTCAAGCTCTGTCAGGTTGGATGGGGAGCGTCGCTGCACAGCTATTTTCAGGACTCCAGAGATGTTTGATCGGGTTCAATCTGGCCTCTGGCTGGGCCACTCAAGGACATTCAGAGACTTGTCCCGAAGCCACTCCTGCGTTGTCTTGGCTGTGTGCTTAGGGTTCCCCAGTCTGAGGTCCTGAGCGCTCTTCATCAAGGATCTCCCTGTACTTTGCTCCATTCATCTTTCCCTCGACCCTGACTAGTCTCCCAGACCCTGCCGCTGAAAAACATCCCCACAGCATGATGCTGCCACCACCATGCTTCACCGTAGGGATGGTGCCAGGTTTCCTCCAGATGTGACGCTTGGCATTCAGGCCAAAGAGTTCAATCTTGGTTTCGTCAGACCAGAGAATCTTGTTTCTCATGGTCTGAGAGTCCTTTAGGTGCCTTTTGGCAAACTCCAAGCGGGCTGTCATGTGCCTTTTACTGAGGAGTGGCTTCCGTCTGGCCACTCTACCATAAAGGCTTGATTGGTGGAGTGCTGCAGAGATGGTTGTTCTTCTGGAAGGTTCTCCCATCTGCACAGAGGAACTCAGGAGCTCTGTCAGAGTGACCATCGGGTTCTTGGTCACCTCCCTGACCAAGGCCCTTCTCCCCTGATTGCTCAGTTTAGCCGGGCGGACAGCTCTAGGAAGAATCTAGGTGGTTCCAAATTCTTCCATTTAAGAATGATGGAGGCCAATGTGTTCTTGGGGACCTTCAATGCTGCAGAAAGTTGTTGGGTACCCTTCCCCAGATCTGTGCCTCGACACAATCCTGTCTTGGAGCTCTACGGACAATTCCTTCGACCTCATGGCTTGGTTTTTGCTCTGACATGGACTGTCAACTGTGGGACCTTATATAGACAGGTGTGTGCCTTTCCACATCATGTCCAATCAATTGAATTTACCACAGGTAAATGATGTAGAAACATCTCAAGAATGATCAATGGAAACAGGATGCACCTGCGCTCAATTTTGAGTCTCATAGCAAAGGGTCTGAATACTTATGTAAATAAGGTATTTCTGTTTTTATTTTTAATAAATTTGTAAAAATGTCTAAAAATCTGTTTTCGCTTTGTCATTATGGGGTATTGTATGTAGATTGATGAGGATATATATATATATATTTTTTTACATCCATTTTAGAATAAGGCTGTATTGTAACAAAAAGTGGAAAAAGTCAAGGGGTCTGAATACTTTCCTAATGCACTGTACATACTTAATGTACATACACAAAAGAGGAGAGCACATAAAACATAGAGGAGGCCAGGTAGCCTAGCGGTTAAGCGCGAAAGGTCGCTGGTTCGAATCCCTGAGCCGACAAGGTGGAAAAACCTGCCGTTCTGCCCCAAGGTACTTAATCCCCAACAACAACCGCTTCCCAGGCGCCGAAGATGTCGATTTAAGGCGGATAACTGCAGAAGATTCATTTCGGTTTAACTGTCTAGGTACCCCCAACTGTCTAGGTACCCCCTTTTCCTTTCTCCCAGGAGCAGTGGTAACTACACACACACACATGAGGAGGACTAATAACCACAATCCCACACTTCCATGTGTGTATCTCTTGTCAACCCCAGGGAGTTCCTGCAGCGTTTCTCAGTGTTGTCTAGTGCCATCCAGGACCTGCACTCCGGCGAAGCGGTGTTCAGCCTGGACAACTTTGGCCGTCTCTTCAGCCAACACACACTGCAGCTGAGACACTGTAACGTCACCCCGTGTGACACCACACAGAAAACAATCCTCTGGTAAGGTGTGTGTGTGTATCTGTGAGAGAGTGAAAAGACTGAGAGGAAATGTTCAGTTCTCTCCTCTCTTGCCCCCATCACCCCATCTCTCAAAAAAATGTCCTCTCCCTCCATTCTCTCGTTCCCTCTGTGTATCTCAGGTCATCTCCAGACCAGTTCAGGACCCAGGTCAGTTCCCAGCTGTTCCAGAGAGCCTACCGCTCCTCCCCCTGCCCTCCCCAGGTGGCCCGCTGGCTCTTCCAGGTACTACTCTACACCCCCTTTTACCTCTTCCTTGCGCTAGACAAATCAAATTGATTTGTTTGTATAATTACTTAAATGTAAATGATTGATCAGTGGATTGATGTCTCCTCTCTCTTGCTCGCTCTCTCTCTGGTGGTTTGGTGGTACGCAATTCGTTTTTTTGGGGGGGCGGGGGGGGGGGGGTTTAATCAAATGAGGATGGCTCATTAAAGACAGACAAAAAGTCAGCCTCTCTCTCTCCCTCCTGTAGATGATGTCAGTCCACTCAGACAAGCTGACCTGTCATCAGGTCCTTAAGGCCCTTGGAGATATTGCCTGCTCTGCTGCTGAACACATGGTGCTGAATAAGAGTGAGAGGTATGAGGTTTGGGTGCCCAGTGTTGGAGACGTGACCCTGGTCTTCATGAACATGGGGGTTCCCTTTGTCACACTGTTCCCCCTGGAGAACCTACAACCCCCCTTCACTGAGGGAGACCTGATGTAAGTCTGTGTGTGTGTCTGTGTGTCAATAACAACTTTGTTCATACAATTTTTATGATAGACGGTAATAACTACGTGTGTGTGTGTGTGTGTGTGTGTGTGTGTGTGTGTGTGTGTGTGTGTGTGTGTGTGTGTGTGTGTAGAGAGGGCATCCAGATCAGCACAGAGAGCCTGTCCAGTAAGAAGCTCAGAACTTTCCCTGAACACAACTTTGACAACGTCATCAAGTACATGTGTCATTGTACGTCGTTGTGCCCGCGGGCCTACAGTGACAGAGACCTGCTGTTACTCCTGACGGTGGTGAGCAGAGTGGGCCTGGACACGCAGCTCACCCTCCAGCCCACCGAGCACCTCCGCTCCCTACTGCACAACCTGGTCAACAGCATCAGGGACTTGGACAGCATGGTCAGTCAGTCAACCTTTTTATTTCTTTCTTCTTCTGTGGCTTCTGAGTGGTGCCGTAGTAACACGTGTACACGTGCAACCACAATGGTTGTGGGTTCAATCCCCGCCTCAGCCTTTCTAACTTAATCTTATACTTGCTTGTCTCCCCCATCCACTTATTCGCTGTCTAAATAAACCCAGGGCTAAATAATCCCAGCCTCCTTAGCCCGGGGCTAAGGGAGTGTTCACACTTGCACATTCTAAAGTGGGCTAGCGCCAACCTTAGCCCAGGGCTAGCTGGCCCTGCTCCGGAGCAGGGTTAGCACCGAACTCTCTTGTTTACCTGTCCGGGTCGACAGGGAGAGATTATTTCACAGAAAATAATAATGTTCCATGAGTTTTGTCAAAGTTTCGAGTGACGAAACGTAGCTAGCTAATGTCAACTAACAACTCTCATGTCTTGTTGTGCGCAACAGCGGAACCATTGCTATGGATACTCAAACACACAGCACAGGGAGTGGGGGACAGACCAAGACAAACAGCTATAGATAGGAGGAAGTTACTGTATTTCTGATTTCGGGTTCGGCCGCACCTTTAACTTTGGCAGAAGCAATCGGGCCAGAGTAGGGCCTGAATGTTGCGGGCATGGGCAGGGCAGGACTCTAGATAGAATGTAACATTGAACGCATGTCAGAAATAGGATGTACTTGTCGCATGTTGTGTTTGTACGTTAGCCCAGGTCTTTGGAATGCAAGTGTGAATCCTTGGCACAGGGTTAACAAATGCTTGTGTTAATGTGGGATTAGCTAGCCCAGGGCCAGTCTTAGCCAGGGGCATTGTGAAATGCAGTGTGAAAAGGCCTTGAAAGGGGAAATTCCACCACTTTTCGACCTCGTATTCATGATCTCTGGTACCATACCAGTGTCTACATACAGTACGTGAAAATGGCACATTTCTACATTTTGTAGTAAAAAAATATAAAGTTAAAAAGTGCAATTGGTGTAATCTAAAGTAAAAACATTTTAACTCGTGGTGACACCGGGAGCATGGGAATGCCCTCCCCCTGGCTAGAAACTCATTGCAGGTTTTGACATTGAATTAGGAATTACAATAGTAATTTAATAGGATCTCTATGGGTTTTTCAAATCACTTTTTATTTTTTATTTTTTTCTCCTACTCTATAATGTCTTAGATTATGACTTTTTTTAGGACCTTCTTATCTTTTTAACTACAGAATGTAGACATGCACCATTTTTACATACACTGAGCCCCAAAAGTATTGGGGCAGTGACACATTGTTTGTTGTTTTGGCTCTGTACTCTAGCACTTTGGATGATACAAAGTTAAAGTGCAGACTGTCAGCATTAATTTGAAGGTATTATCATTCATATCGTATTATCATTGTGGTCCTTTGTAGCTCAATTGGTAGAGCATGGCGCTTGTAACGCCAGGGTAGTGGGTTCGATCCCCGGGACCACCCATACATAAAAATGTATGCACGCATGACTTTAAGTCGCTTTGGATAAAAGCGTCTGCTAAATGGCATATTATTTATTATTATTATATCGGATGAACCGTTTAGAAATTACAGCACTTTTTGTACATAGTCCCCCCATTTTAGGGGACCAAAAGTATTGGGACAAATTCACTTGTGTATTAAAGTAGTCAAAAGTGTAATATTTGGTCCCATATTCCTAGCACACAATGATTTACATCAAGCTTGACTCTACAAACTTGTTGAATGCATTTGCTGTTTGTTTTGATTGTTTTTGAGATTACTTTGTGCCCAATAGAAATTAATGAGATATAATGTATTGTGCATTTTGGAGTCACTTGCTAACCTCTCACCATTACAAGAACAGGGGAAGTTAGCATTTTTTAGGGGGATGATATTTGTGCATCTGTAACTTTGTATCATTTCAAATCCAAAGTGCTGGAGTACAGAGCCAAAATCACAAAAAATGTGTCACTAACCACGTTTTTATCCAATTACCTGCCGCATTAACAAAAGTCACGACCGTGCGGATGGAAACATAAATGCCGACAGACAATTAGTTTGTTCCACATGGTGGAATCTTTTTGTGTCTGTAAATTAAATTATGCGAGAAATGGCAGTGGAATGCTTTTATGAACAAATATTAATATAATAACCATCATATCGAAGTAAATTTGGAGTCATCCGAGTCTCCCACTCCGACTCGGGAAAGCATACAGTTTATTAGGCTACAGATTAAATAAGTGATGATGAACTTCACAGGGTGGTGAATTTGCAAGGTGATGAGCTTGATGCTTCTGTCCAATAAATATTTTGGGTATTTTTCTGGTGACATGATGATCAATGCTTTGCTGCCATTTGACAAATAGAAATAATATCACTCTTATCCATAATAATCTCATAATGTAGGTAGCCTACCCACACTGTATCTGCGAGATGTTGGTTAAAGTGCACGTGTCAAGACCAGAGTGGGCACATTTGAAATATAACGCAACAGTTTTTGTGACAAAACCATCAGTAGAGTTGAAAATGATGGAAACCCATTTACAGTTGAAGTCGGAAGTTTACATACACTTAAGTTGGAGTCATTAAAACTCATTTTTCAACCTCTCCACAAATTTCTTGTTAACAAACTATAGTTTTGGCAAGTCGGTTAGGACATCTACTTTGTGCATGACACAAGTAATTTTTCCAACAATTGTTTACAGACAGATTATTTAATTTATAATTCACTGTATCACAATTCCAGTGGGTCAGAGGTTTACATACACTAAGTTGACTGTGCCTTTAAACAGCTTGGATGATGTCATGGCTTTAGAAGCTTCTGATAGGCTAATTGACATCATTTGAGTCAATTGGAGGTGTACCTGTGGAGGTATTTTAAGGCCTACCTTCAAACTTACTTGACATCATGGGAAAATCAAAAGAAATCAGCCAAGACCTCAGATTTTTTTTTTTTGCCCTCCACAAGTCTGGTTCATCATTGGGAGCAATTTCCAAACGCCTGAAGGTACCACGTTCATCTGTACAAAAAATAGTACGCAAGTATAAACACCATGGGACCACGCAGCCGTCATACTGCTCAGGAAGGAGACGCGTTCTGTCTCCTAGAGATGAATGTACGTTGGTGCGAAAAGTGCAAATCAATCCCAGAACAACAGCAAAGGACCTTGTGAAGATGCTGGAGGAAACAGGTACAAAAGTATCTATATCCACAGTAAAACGAGGCCTATATCGACATAACCTGAAAGGCCGTTCAGCACGGAAGAAGCCGCTGCTCCAAAACCGCCATAAAAAAGCCTGACTACGGTTTGCAACTGCACATGGGGACAAAGTTCGTACTTTTTGGAGAAATGTCCTCTGGTCTGATGAAACAAAAATAGAACTGTTTGGCCATAATGACCATCGTTATGTTTGGAGGAAAAAGGGGGTTGCTTGCAAGCCGAAGAACACAATCCCAACCGTGAAGCACGGGAGTGGCAGCATCATGCTGTGGGGGTGCTTTGTTGCAGAAGGGACTGGTGCACTTCACAAAATAGATGGCATCATAAAGAAGGAAAATTATGTGGATATATTGAACCAGCATCTCAAGACATCAGTCAGGAAGATAAAGCTTGGTTGCAAATGGGTCTTCCAAATGGACAATGACCCCAAGCATACTTCCAAAGTTGTGGCAAAATGGCTTAAGGACAACAAAGTCAAGGTATTGGAGTGGCCATCACAAAGCCCTGACCTCGATCCTATAGAAAATGTGTGGGCAGAACTGAAAAAGCGTGTGCGAGCAAGGAGGCCTACAAACCTGACTCAGTTACACCAGCTCTGTCAGGAGGAATTGGCCAAGATTCACCCAACTTATTGTGGGAAGCTTGTGGAAGGCTACCTGAAACGTTTGACCCATGTTAAACAATTTAAAGGCAATGCTACCAAATACTAATTGAGTGTAAACTTGTGACCCACTGGGAATGTGATGAAAGAAATAATTCTCTCTACTATTATTCTGACATTTCACATTCTTAAAATAAAGTGGTGATCCTAACTGACGTTGTGAAAAACCGAGTTTAAATGTATTTGGCTAAGGTGTATATAAACTTCCGACTTCAACTGTATTTAAATATTATTTTTTGTTACTTTTTACCCCTTTTTTCTCCCCAATTTCATGATATCCAATTGGTAGTTACGGTCTTGCCCCATCGCTGCAACTCCCGTACGGACTGGGGAGAGGTGAAGGTCGAGAGCCATGTGTCCTCCGAAACACCACCCTGCCAAGCCGCACTGCTTCTGACACACTGCTCGCTTAACCCAGAAGCCAGCCGCACCAACGTGTGGGAGGAAACACCGTACAACTGGCGACCGTGTCAGCGTGCATGCGCCACAGGAGTTGCTAGAGGACAAGGAAGTCCCAGCTGGCCAAACCCTCCCCTAACCCGGATGACGCTGGGCCAATTGTGCGCCGCCTCATGGGTCCCCCGGTCGCGTCCGGCTGCGACACAGCCCGGGATCAAAACCTTGTCTGTAGTGACGCCTCTAGCACTGCGATGCAGTGCCTTAGACCGCTGCACCACTCGGGAGGCCCTATGGAAACCCATTTAACTTGTATTTTTCATTCGGTACATCGAATTTAAAGGCAAAAGTTATTTTTATGTGCACTACGTCATCGTGCACAGCCTTTTATCCGCAAAAGGTCAGTTTGATGGAAACATCTCTGGTGGAAAATGCGCATATTGTTCTATACAGATTTTTGAATATTCACATGAAAATCTGTCACAAATTGGATGGAAACCTATCTACTGTCCCAAAACCTTTGGAGCTCACTGTATGTAGACACTGGTATGGTTCTGGAGATGAATGAATGAATGTCACCATTTCTTTCTTTTGCTTTTTTGAAGTTTCTTTATTTCCTTTGCTAGGTAAACTCATCTCACTGTTTTGTGTGTGTGTGTGTGTGTTTCGCCTGTCTGATTGTTGATGTTGATCCATCTCCTGTCCTGTCCTGTAGCTGCCCAGGATCTGCATGTCGCTGGTCGACCTGACTGAGGACCACCACAACCTGCGCTGGCTGGTCGAGCTCCTGCCAGACAGCATGCGTGGCAAGCAACTCAGGAGACACATCAGTGTGTCGGCCATCTCCAAGCTACTGAACAAGAAATGCACTTACATTCCCTCCAACACAGAGTTCCAGCTGTCAGACCTGCGTCCCTACCTCTCCAGAATGCGGCCCTCCTCACTCCTCCGGGGCCTGGCCACCTCCTGCTCCAGGAGGAGTCCCCACCCACACAGAGAGCGGGAGGGGGAGGAAGAAGAGGAGGACTGTGCCTCCCTGGACCAGCAGGTCAACAAAGGTTTATTTACCAGGGTATATAAGGGTCATTTTGCAACGGAAAACATTTTGCAACAAAACGGAAATGTCTTATTAGACAAGAGTAGCAACTAGTCCCTCCCATCTTAGGTTTGTTTGCTTGCGTCTGGTTCCTAGTGACTACACCCCTGTTGTCCAATTAAATCAGATTTTCATTAGGTCACACAACCAACAGTGGTTTGCAAGGGAAATATATATAACAATTTATTGGAGCAATAGTCAAAGTCGTCCCTGTTTTCTTCCGTTTGGTGTCCAATGAACACATTGTTGTTTTCAGGCCTACTACCTCTGCTACAGCCTCCTGGCCCTGGCCAACGAAGCCACCAACTTTGAGTTCTTCCCTTCGGAGCAAAAGAACCAGTTGTTGTTGCTAAGTGCTGAGCTGGAGAAACACATCAAAAGTGACATCAGGGAGAGTGAGAAGATGCTGTACAGGAGCAAGGTATGTGGTCACTTCTTCCGTATAGACAACATTTCTATGGGAACTGTAATCCACATAAATGCATTAATGATGATATGATCTCTCTGGTTAAACGGCTCTTAACCCCCCTCGTTCTCTCTCCCTCTCTCCTCCTCTTCCTCTCTCTCCGCACTCTCTTCGTCATCCACCCCACCTCTCGCTCTCTCTTCCTCATCGCTCACTCTTTCTCCCTCTAGGTGAAGGACTTTGTGGCCAGGATCTACACCAAGTGGCAGGTGCTGGTCCATAGAACCAGGCCTCTCCAGGTAGACATGCATAGAGAGATACAGTACAGCTACAGTATGTAAAGCCATAACTAGATGTGTGTGTGTGTGTGTGTGTGTGTGTGTGTGTGTGTGTGTGTGTAGATAGATATGCATATGTGTGTGTATATATATATATGTGTGTGTAGTTAGTTCGGGGAAGTACTGCCAGGGCAACTAGTATCGCAGAGCTGTGATTTAATGCTGTGTATTTATTATTGCATAGTAAAACTGTTGTAATAATGTTATGTTTATTCCCTACAGGGTAAACTGTAGTAATATGTTTGATAGCAATGTGATTTGTTTTATAGTAATTAAATGTGTGTGTTGCCTCCAGGGTAAACTGTATGACTACTGGCAGCCTCTGCCTGAGGATGCTGTGAGCAGCAGCCAGGAGAGCCAACACTTCCACAGGGAGAGAGAAGTGGCGGAAGAGAGAGGGGAAAGGGTCATGGAGGTGGAAGGAGAAGAGGATGAGGGGGACGAGGTAGGACAAGACGGAGAGGGACAAGACAAGGAGGAGAGGACACCAGAAAAGCACTATGCCATGGAGGAAGCTGAGGAACGAAAGGACATTCAGGGAGAGGAGGAAGACTAACTTCTAAAGATGGAGGAGATGGATGAGATGGATGAGGTGGATGAGGTGGAGGAGATGGAGGAGGTGGATGAGGTGGAGGAGGTGGAACTTACGCTAGAGGAGTCAGATGAGGAACCAAATATGGAGACATGGAGGCAGAACAAACAGAAGTAGAGACGGAGGAGAGGGTCACAGAAAAGAGGGAAGCAGCGGTGGAGGAGAGAAGGAAAGAACAGACGGAAGGGAGAGAGTGAGGAGAGAGGCAATTTATAGAAAGATTCAGAGATGGAGGAAAGAGGTGGAGAATCAAGGCAGGCAGAGAGAAGAACAGAAGGAAGAGACTGGGAGAGGCACAGAACAGAAGGAAGAGACTGGGAGAGGCACAGAACAGAAGGAAGAGACTGAGAGAGGAACAGAAGGAAGAGACTGGGAGATGCACAGAACAGAAGGAAGAGACTGGGAGAGGCACAGAACAGAAGGAAGAGACCGGGAGAGGCACAGAAAGGAGGGATGATTATATGAAGGAATGAGGCAGAGAGAAGCCAGAGAAGAACACTGCAATGGAAGATAACCTGGCTGCATCCATATAGAATTGTGCATGTCTAGACCAACTGCCTGTCTTCTAGACTCTGGACCAAAGTTGCATCCAAAATGGCACCCCGGCCTATTCCCTGTGTAGTGCATTATATAGGGAACAGGGTGCCATTTGGGATGCAACTGTGTCTACGTGTTCCACTTTCTCAGGTAAAGTGAACAAACGTAACGTGATTTCTTTCAGGCACTTTGTTGAACAATGCAGAAGATGAATCCTAGTAGGATTGACCTACATATATATATTAAACTGTTCTGTTGATTCGTTTTACTATTTGCACTTGTTTTTTTTTTGTTTTTTTTGTCACATTTCTGCTGTTGAGTAACTTCTATTTTCAAAATACACTTTTTATTGCAGTTGCAACGTGGTAAAAATAAACGTAGTTTGTCAAACAAATCCCCAGTGTGTTTGAGTAGTATTTCTGCACTGCATCATTAGTACACATGCCCCCCCACTTATCACTTCCATTGTTATGGAGTGGAAATTGTTTCTCTTCACACCTGTGCAGAATAAGGAACTTGACCATGCCAGCTAGAGATGATGAGTGTGAAGAATACAGTAAGAGGTGCTGCTGACTAGAGATGGACCGACAATCGGTCGGGACAGTATTCTATAGGCTGATATTATCCCATTCCTAGTCTATCGGCTATCGGTCGGGACAGTATTCTATAGGCTGATATTATCCCATTCCTAGTCTATCGGCTATCGGTCGGGACAGTATTCTATAGGCTGATATTATCCCATTCCTAGTCTATCGGCTATCGGTCGGGACAGTATTCTATAGGCTGATATTATCCCATTCCTAGTCTATCGGCTATCGGTCGGGACAGTATTCTATAGGCTGATATTATCCCATTCCTAGTCTATCGGCTATCGGTCGGGACAGTATTCTGGGCTGATATTATCCCATTCCTAGTCTATCGGCTATCGGTCGGGACAGTATTCTATAGGCTGATATTATCCCATTCCTAGTCTATCGGCTATCGGTCGGGACAGTATTCTGGGCTGATATTATCCCATTCCTAGTCTATCGGCTATCGGTCGGGACAGTATTCTATAGGCTGATATTATCCCATTCCTAGTCTATCGGCTATCGGTCGGGACAGTATTCTGGGCTGATATTATCCCATTCCTAGTCTATCGGCTATCGGTCGGGACAGTATTCTGGGCTGATATTATCCCATTCCTAGTCTATCGGCTATCGGTCGGGACAGTATTCTTGGCTGATATTATCCCATTCCTAGTCTATCGGCTATCGGTCGGGACAGTATTCTGGGCTGATATTATCCCATTCCTAGTCTATCGGCTATCGGTCGGGACAGTATTCTGGGCTGATATTATCCCATTCCTAGTCTATCGGCTATCGGTCGGGACAGTATTCTATAGGCTGATATTATCCCATTCCTAGTCTATCGGCTATCGGTCGGGACAGTATTCTGGGCTGATATTATCCCATTCCTAGTCTATCGGCTATCGGTCGGGACAGTATTCTGGGCTGATATTATCCCATTCCTAGTCTATCGGCTATCGGTCGGGACAGTATTCTATAGGCTGATATTATCCCATTCCTAGTCTATCGGCTATCGGCCCTTGACTATGGTAGCATCTGAATTGCATACACCTTGCGTCCTCTCTTCTCGGCTCCTTCCCAAAACCCATTGGATGAGAAAGCCAGAGGTCCCTCCCCTCTGACCTTTTCCTCCAATGAGTTTTGAGAATGCGAGGAGAGAGGGTGCGCAAGGAGTATGCATTGAGATTCTCCCATAGAGAATGATAGAAGCCTCTAGTGGCCAAAAGGCCGTATTAGCATAGGCAGCGCCATTGAGGGCTTCCACCATTTCAATATAGTCAACTGGGTGGGACTTCCAACTTCATTGGCTGATCCCTCATGGTGGGAGTCATGTCCAACCGGGTCATCAGGAGTTATCATCCTATCGTGAAGAAAATGTACTACTTCAAAATGGAGATGGCCTCAATGGCACAGATCCAAAGATGAGTCCTCTATGGATTCTCCCTATCTCTCCTGTCCTCTGTGCTGCAACATCTTCAAGATTCCTGTCATCCTGTTATGTAGCTACAACTTTTTTATGTGTGTGTTAGGGTTTTTCAACTCCTGCAAGGGGTCACTTCTTTCTGCTCGCTCTTTGTTAGGTTTAGGACCGGGTTGTACTTTGTAATAAAGGTATTTGCAAAAAGAGACATACAAATAAAATGTGATTGATTGATATCCATGGCTAGAAGTTCTACATAGCTATAAAGACTATAAATAATAGGTGTACCTTTTTTTAAATCCATGCTTGCCATTTTATTTTTTTCCACATGGTGGTGCAGCTGTTACATAAAACCAACAATGTCCTCCACTTAAATACAGACCCCGAATACTCAGATGGCATCTCAGACAGATAAGCAAATGGGCATAGTCCACACATGGAACACCTTACTGCAGTTGGAATGAAGGTAGACCAAATCCACATTCATTGAACTGTTTCATTGACCTATGTCATGGTGTGATTTCGATTTTTAGTTTCTTATAACACTGACACAAAATCCTATAAATAGTTTTTAATGACATATTTTTTTTCAGATTCTGAATCAGCCAGTGACTAGACAAACAATAGACTGCACAATTTCAACTTTTAATACCAGTTAAAGAAACAGAAGATTTCACAATGTTGAAAATAGGTATAAAATGAATATATTTTCTGGTGAAGGAGTGTGAGCAGCATGTTGAGTGACATATTAAGTTAGAGTAACTGAAGTTTAGTTAGAAGGTTGAACTTAGTAGTAGTAACTGAAGCCTTTAGTAGTAAGGTAACTGAAGCCTTTAGTTAGTAAGGTAACTGAAGCCTTTAGTTAGTAAGGTAACTGAAGCCTTTAGTTAGTAAGGTAACTGAAGCCTTTAGTTAGTACCTGAGCCTTAGTTACTGAAGCCTTGTATAGGTAACTGAAGCCTTAGTTAGTAAGGTAATGAAGCCTTAGTAGTAAGGTAATGAGCCTTTATTAGTACTGAAGCTTTAGTTATAGGTAACTGAAGCTTGTGAGGTGACTGAAGCTTATTGTAAGTAACTGAGCCTTTTCAGTAAGCCTGACTCCTTTAGCCATTTCATACTTCTCAGTCGTTAAATGAAAAATGGACCGAGTGCAGAGGGTCATCATGCTCATAATATGATAATATATGCCATTTAGCAGGCTTTTATCCAAAGCAGGCTTTTATCCAGTCATGCGTTCCTACATTTCACATATGGGTGGTCCCGGGAATTGAACACACAATACTGGCGTTGCAACTGAGCCATACAGGACCACATACAATCATGACAGAGCCCTGACAGACATATTCAATAAGAGCACTAAAGGAAACCATTTTAAGTGAAGGGCCTACCTTGAGAGTCTGCTTAACAGAAGATGGTTTCCTAATATGTCACATTGGGCTCCGTCAGCATCTTCAGTGGTCCAAAGCCTGTGTTCAATACAATAATAGGTAATAGGCCAGCTAACGATGCAGCAGCCAAGGGAATACAGGGAACCCATTCGGAAGGTATCTATTCTGTAACCCAAGGAAGAGTGTTCACTGAACGTGCAAAAACAACCAAACACAGCAGGACGTAAACAGGTTATCGTCTCATTTTCAGGCAGTGTAATGTGAATTTTCTGTCTTGTTTTGCTTATGCTGTGTAAAATAACCCCTGTCGTCCCACAGGAGAGTGAATGAAGTAGTGCGTTATTAGTGATCTATGGTCTCTCTCTGTGTGTGTGTGTGTGGGTCGGGGGGGGCGGGGCGGGGCGGGGCGGGGGGGGGGGTGTATAAGAGATCTAAGGTTTCCCGCTAGTCTCCTGTAACACTTCTCTCCCAGGACATGTTAGAGTGTGTTAGAGAGACATTAGGGTCAAAGGAGAATGATGACCCTTCTCCTCCGGCTTGGCTTTCCTTTATGGAGCGCCTCTGGACAACACACAATCAACCCTAACTTGATCAGAACCAGAGGCTTTCGTTCTTGTAAGCAGAAATTAACACTTCATACCCCTTGGTCGGCAGAAATTCAACACTGCACTGCCTTGAAGGTCCTCTCAGGGACTAGAGGAGATAATAGCGTTAAGTTAAAACAGCTCCGGACTGAAACGCAATTAGCTAGTTTTCTGGACAAATCAGCTAGTTTCCCTGTTGGCAGAGAGAAGTCTGGTGGAGGAGATTATGTGTGGCCGTTAGCTGTTGATCAGAGGGATCTCTGAGAGAGAGACGCATTCCTCATTGTTGAGTCATCATGATTCTTATTAGCAGGCTTTAGTCAAAATGTCAATTTACAAGATGTCATGACATTGAGTGAACACGGGGACGACCTTCAATCTCATTCACACAGACCCTACCAAGCCCCCATATTTTCACATTTTGGTGACCAACCGTTTTTTTATCTTGATGTGGCATGTGGGCCTCTATATAACCAATTCAAAAGAAATGAAAGTAACACTCATCGCACTGCAATTAAGAGAATTGTGTGT